TATAGGTAGGTTAGGTATACATATTATATTATTATGCCGGCGGGGCGGTAGTGCATGAATGGTCAGTGATCACTATATTATAAAGACTGAACATTTAACGATTTAATTAATTAATTTTTATGTAACTTGGCAATATTAGTGTAAAGTTCCTAGCCCCAACAAATAATATTTTTTTAGTTACAACAAAATAACTAAAGTTTTTAATTTTGTATAGTAAATGATAATTTGAGTAKTAGTAGAATATTTTAAGTTTCTAATCATTTTTAAAATTAATTTAATATCGAAAATCATTCGAGGAGAAATCGTTATTTTACCTGTGAATGTCTAATTTCATCAAAATGTTAGATTCTATCACTCATCAAAAAGGTATGAAGGATTACGCTATTTTTTTTTTAAGTTTATCACTGTAGTATAAAATATTAACAACTTATGAGGAACATTGTATTAAGTTATTAAGAGGACCGAGCATAATTTTTTATCAAATATTTAATTAAAAAGTCGAAGCATTTATACTACATCAAAAGGTTTCCACATGCTGACTACAGCACAAAATTTAAAAACATTATTTTCAAAGGTGTAGCTGAAAAAAAATTAGGGGAGGGGTCCAATATTTTTAATATGAATACTTATCATTTTTATGTTCAGATTATAAAAAAATGTCGTTCTACTTTTAAAAAGTCCAGGTGGTGGAGAGGGTCTGGACGACCAATGAGGCACTGACCCCTAGTTACGGCCTTAATTAATGATTATATATTATCGCTCCACCTAAAATCTAAAAAGAATTTACTTAGAAAATATTGTACACCTATATTTAATTTTAATATAAGATAAGAAAGAAATATATGATGTGAGACCAGGTTCTTAGAAAATTGTAAAATTACCCAACTATAATTTTATTTTGTATTTACCTATAGTAAAATTTTAAAATGACTTCATATGACTTGTAAGTTGTAACTAGTTGTAACACCAATTAATGTGGTACTCATCACTCACGTTGTACTAGTATACTCATATCCAAATATCTTCATAAGCCATTATCACATAGAACATAAAATAAGCTATTCCACTAATATTTTAAAAACAATTTAGCTCCTTGATTTCTCCCTTCCTGTAATCCGGTTGTTCTAATTATTGCTGATGTTAAATAGTGTAGAGTAAAATACAATTTGTTGACCGATTCAAAATGTAACCGAGTTGGCGCCTCATCAATGTTACATACCGTGTGATTAATAATTCTTTGAAAATGAAAACTGAAGTTAATTGATAGAAAATAATATTTAATACGTTGCATTTATACAWATTTGGTTATTTTTTCATAACATAATATTATGTTATTAATTCCTACCTATTATTTACTAATTATAATTAATAGGTACAATAATATTTAGTTAGTATTATTGCTTATTGGTCAAGTTACTACCTACAAACATGAAACAATCTTTTTTTTAATGTATCAGTTCCTTATTATTTCATTGTGATCAAAATATTTTTAATTATGGTCCGATGTTATTTATATTAATGCATAACAAATTACCAAGGTGTATTTTACAATTTATAAAGAAATACGAATAGTTATAAAATTATAATAAATTATATTGTACTTACAATTTATGGGTAGGTATTATCTAAACATTTATATACTTATTGTAAAATTAAAAATGGTTTAATTAAATTGGTTTGGCGAAGAATGTGGATGGATAAACATTTTTAACTGTTGTCTGTTACCAGTAATTATATAAATAATATTGTTTTTTCGAACAAATTATTTATCTATTTTAATTATTTTATTTATTTTATCAATTTTAATAATACAAAAAAAATCATATTTAACCGAACAAAAATAAATTTTATTTTTACCACTACAACTCAAATTATTTAAAAAAAAAGTAATTTACTTATCTTTGAATGAGTAGTTGACTTAAATTGTTTCTTAATTTCTAAAAATKATGATACTTCAAGCACACGGTATACACAGCGGCTGTCCTGTCCTTCCACAATGGTACAATTTGCAACGCGCTCGCGGTTGATAACGTGAAAGAGGATATGCGCATTACGTTCGAGTTGTCGTCACTGCTAGCGCATTTTATATATCCGGAGAAGCTTCAAAAATAAAACGTAGAGTTTAAACACGCGCGCGCTCACATCTCTGTTCTAAAAATGCATTAGTCTTGGCTCACGGCGGTTGAGTGTTAACCACCATTATTAACGTCGGGAAATATTATTAACGAAAATTAATTAGACATATTCAAAATAAATAACGGCCAAAACTCATATTAATCGTTATTTTACTATATATTCTGATTTAATTTTTTTGCGGACGTACTAATACGCATTATTTTTTTTGTGACTACGYGGATTTATTTAGACATTAAAATGGCTCAGCTAATAACTTTGAAATTATCCAGGCACGATCAATCATCTCCGTGGGGATTTAGATTACAAGGAGGCAAAGATTTTGGGACACCGTTGCTCATACAAAAGGTAAGATTTAAACGATTCTTTTTTGTACCTT